AAAACTCAGAATAACATAATCACTACTCTCACCGCCATGAAAACATCAAACTTATAAAGACTCGCCAAGCCCGACTTTAGTACACTAGTTGTGGCGCTGCTGTCGTCCTCACTTTATAAGTACGAAAGCTGCCATATTGGTTTTTTGCATGGACGCACTCGTAAACGTTATAACAAATTTAGTAATAATTATATATTAAATCTTGTCCGTCTAATAATAAATTATTTTTATTATTAGATTTACATTAGACCATCATTTTTTTTCATGTTTCACGACATGTTTCAGTTCCTAAAAGAACCATCCTCAGGTGTATTTAATTATATAAAGCTTCAAAACGATAACGATATTTATCGTTTTGAAGCATGAAACATGAAAAATGATGGTCTAATGTAAATCGAATATTTCGATAAAGAACATCATTTAATATTTTAAATATTTTAAATGTTAATTATTGTAATATTTTAATGTTTAATAAGAATTTATTGTGATTAGACGGACAAGAATTTAATATATACTTATTATATCACAATATGACGCAAATTTACCATTTTAGTAATAATTGTTGAAAACGAAAATTACAAGGAGGCACACTATCGGGGGTTTATTAGAGTTTTCCGCAATAATTGAGTTGATAACTATCTGCTTGCAATATGGACGGCAGGGGTTCGATTCTCAGTTTGTTCTAATCGACATTTTTGTAATTGGTATGGAGGCTGAAGGAATCTAATTTAATTCAGAACTATGAATTTTCGTTATTCCTTTATTAATAGTGGAGATAGTGAGGACAGATTTGGAGAAATTCTAACTGCGTGTTTTCTGAAACTGTCAAGTTGTTTCGACGTTTTACTGCTAATACATTTTGTTATGTTATGTTTCAGCCGACAGGGATTATCTCTTTCTCGAATGTGAATAAAGGAAAAAAAAAATGAAAAGAATTAAAAATATATTTTTCTAGCGTCCAATATCATTATTGACGTGGCGATAAAAAAAATTAATGACAATCGGA